CTGTGTTCCCCCTTCTCATTTGACAGACTGCTTCATTTGTAAAAACAACAAAATAGATGGTTTGCTCAAACATTCCCCTCCCTATCAGTACAAATCCCCCCTCGTGGACATCCCCTTCAAGCACAAATATTAGCCCCCCCTCCCATCCCTTCTGTCAACTCAAATCCTCCTTCTCTCAACAACCCCCACCCCACACCCCAAAATCACCCCTCCTAGCACAAATAGGCCCCCAATCACCCATATTACCACATATTCTCCCCCTTCCTATGACAAACAACCCACCCCCCAAAAAAAAACCTCCCCTCCTAGCACAAATCCTCTTACCCTCCATCCCCCAACAACATTCCCCCCACTCAAATCTCCTAGTACAAGGCCCCTTCCCCCAATCCCACCTTCCCCTTTTCCAGCACATATCTCCCCAAATCCCCTCTCCAAACACAACTCCTTTGCCCTCATTCCCCCTCCATGCACCTACTCCTGTCAGCTTGCAGTGGAAGGAACTCTTTGTGGCACCCCTCCACCTCACATGATACCAGTGCTCTGGGCAGCAGACCTTCTGGTTGTAAACATCAGACATGAAATCTGATCAAAATCATCATTCTATATTGTGAGCTTGTCTGTATCCAAAGCTCTGATGTGATTTCTCTCTGCTGCCTCATTCCTCAGTTATCTGTAGGAGTCACTTCTGGCAGCTTTTCCAAGCTCCAAGAGAAAAATGGTGTCGGTGGAGGAGAGTTCCAGCACACAGCCTGTGATCGACAACTACAGCTGTGCTTGTACTCTCTGTAATGTGAGGAAGGGGTGCTTCCCTTCTCTCCAGTCAGGCTCAGGACTCTTCTCCCTTAGCTGTGCAGTTTGAATTCAGATCCATGTCCCCTGCTTTGTGCTGCTGAGAGATGCCGACAGAGCCTATGTAAATTATGTGTGCTGTAGAAAGCTGTACAGGGCAGATCGCTTCAGATAAACAGGTACTACTAATGTATGAAAATGTGTTTAATCTCTTTGTATCAACTGTAGCCAGTCACTTTACTGGCTATATGTAAGGCTGGCCCATACATTATGCAATTTTCTTTTAGATTTACCAAAACCATATAATATTAGGCCAACCCTAAACACTTTCAATTTGAGTGCAATCAGGCAGGCCTTCACACTGCATAGTTGAAGCTAAAACTAAAGGAGATTGAACACGAAAGTTGTTTAATGTATGGCCACCTTTTGAGTTTACACACACTTTAAATCATGTAATTCTGGGTATAGTAAATTGCCATCATGTTTACCCTATAGTCAAAGGTATTTGTAACACTTTAGGAGAGCTCCCACCACACCCAGTTATAATGCAACAGAAATGGATACAAAGTAACATACTCATAATAGTGTCTATTGCAGTTCCTATAGTGACTGAAACCTGCAAACTTGCAAGAACTCGCGTCTAAAGTTGCATTGCTGGGGAGCTAACCAGGCACTCTGACGAGGTGCTAGGCCTAGGCTATGCACATATGCATATTTTGACCAATGAGTGAAAGTGCTTTACAACAAGCCATCACTGACCGCTGCAGCTACTTATTTTGAAGAACTTAAAGTGGAACTATAGGCATACATTTTTTTTTTTTCATTTTGGATAACCCAAGGGAGGGTTATAACTCCTATCAGATATTTTTCCGCCATCTGTGTCCCATTGCAGAGCTTTTCCTTCATTCCTTATACCACAGTCAAACAGGAAGCAAGAGTTAATCCCTGCAAATAAAGGGAATTTCTGGGGGACCCCCAGGTTACCAGAACTAGTGTCCCCATTGGCAGAGTTTCCCTCTATTACCTTTCTGGGGACAACCCATAATTTTGGATTTTCTCTCTATTTGTCCTGGTAAACAGGACAAATAGAGAGTGTGAATCTCCTTAGCAAGGGCACAGATGGCAGAAAAAACTGACAGGTGTTTAAATCTCTCTCTGCTCTACCCAAAACTAAAAAAAACAACAACAAAGTTTTGCCTTTAGTTATACTTTACCCAAAAGTACAAAGTGAACAGTCGATGGCAGCAGAAATTTGGCAACTTTACTTTTAATGTAAACGTTAGGTGCTGAAACCTGACTTTGGCACTTGTGTTGTCATTCTTGAGGATCAATTACTTTACAGCAGATACTGCTAGACAGGTCAGTGATTGCTTGTTTAAAAAAAAAAAAAAACTTACTGCAAAAAGTGCTGCTATAAACAGCTTAAAAATGTTTGTTTGAGTAGGGCTTTAGTCTGTTTGTCCAGCTCATTTAAAACTACACAGCTATCTACGACTACCCTTTACACAGGGAGACAATGTTGCTGTGTGTTTTCACCGCATAATTAACTGCCTAACACAGGAAAGTGGAAAAATAACCGATTTGCTGATAGTATCAGAAGGCACTAAAACTATGAACACAGGTGGGCTCAAAAAAACAAAAGTTGCTGTGGTATTGCTAATGACAGACTGCAACACTTATGTTTATTTTTTTATGTTGCCCATAGTTACACATTAAGACATCAGCAGTGCAAGAGTAAAAGATGGAGCCTTTCCATGACAACCACCACAATAACATATGGAGGTCGACAATGGCAACCATGAAAATGCTTCTAAAAATTAGGAAGCAGTCTAATAAATTAGGAGCAATTGTCACGAACACGCTTGCACATAACAGGTGACCCAAATTAATTGGTGCCCTCTAATCCTACATTGATGGAGTTTATGGATTTATAAAGTTTAAATATTGATGGAGATAATTACACTTACATGGACCACAGTGTGATACCCAATAGCTCTTTGCATGTTACCTTTATTCTAAAAGTATTGCTCTAGATGTTTGTGTATTGTTACTACATCAAATTGAGTATCTAAGCTCAGAGTCTGTCTCCCTATATTGCAGATAGCCATGTACCTCTGAAATGTTGTGTTTGTGTCAATAGTTTGTAAACTTAAAAAAAAAAAAAAAAAAAAAAAAAGTATTAAAACAGAAAATGATCATTCACTGTGCAGATTATTTTAGCTGAACAGCAGCCTACTCCTTCCAACAGTAGGCAACAATTAGACTTGAATTTGCTACAGGGCTCTTGTACACAGGCTGGCTAACTACATTCACTAACTGTAGCTGAATTACCTTCTTCCAGGTCATTAACATGAATGGCTGTGTGCGGCTGTATATCATAAATATCATGAACACCTTATGGGCACAGGCATAAAACAGAAAATCTTTTTTTTGCACATGACCATATGCTGTACTCTTGTTTACTACATATGTATATAAAAAAAAAAAAAAACGCACAAAATATAGGAATTTACTGGCATTGAAGGGGAACCCACACATTTTACTGTGTAAATGTACAAATTTTATTCAAAGCATCAGAACAACATTAAAAAAGGTCTATGATAAAATTGCTCAATATCAATACCAATGCTTCCTACTGCTGACTCACTCTACCACAAAAATAGCATATATATTGATATAAACACGTAAACAAGAACATTTTCAGATATATATCATACTTGTTTTTTTTATATCAAATGCTCTTTTTATGTTCTAATATAGTAACCTCTGCTGTAGCCTCATGTGTTCTGAGGACACATAAGAGAAACGCGTTGACTCATGAGGACTCGCCACCACGATGATTGCTGTACATACCATAGTATCAAAGTTTTGACATATGTATACTATTTTTGTGGTAGTGTGAGTCAGCAGTAGGATGCATTGGTTTTGTGATTGAGCAATTTTATCACAGCCATTATTTAATGTTAATTAAAATTGGATGTTTACTTGTGAGCCACTAGGAGTTTTCTTTCTATATATAAACTCTATTGTTAATTAATATCATGCATAAGCAATAGTAAAAAATATGTGAAAAATATATAAATAATAAAATATTACCAATTAATTACGAATTAATTAATTAATTACGTGCTAAAATTACTCTTAATTAAATATTAGATCGCCAGGTACTGATCGCACCCTCTCTAGGTGTATAAGTGTTAATCAAAAATGCCAGTGGTGTACCGCGCTCTAATATATTCTACCTTATGTGATATAGTGAATTCATAAGTGTACCACCAATAATCAAAATAATTACATCAATTAGTTATACTTAAATATATGATCTGTGTAAATTGAATTAATTTATCAATGTGAAAAAACGAAAAATGAAGAATATAAGTAAAAATAAAAAATAAAAAATAAAATAAAAAAAATAAAATAAAACTTAAAAAATAAAAAATATCAAAAATATTTTTGCAGTGGGAATGACAGTTCCTTCTGTATAAATGAGATGGTTTTAATATTCAGTCTGGATAGTGTGATGAGTCTGTGTCCACTGTGTGAACCTCTCTCTCCTCTCTCCTCTCCTCTCTCCTCAGCACAGCCTTCTCAGTGAGACTTTCTCCACTGGCTGCTTGGCTTAGTCCTCCATATATGGAACATACAGAGAAGGGAAAAGAAACATAGTGTCTTATCTGGGATTTCAATTGTTTATTATGCTTAGATTTCCCACTCACATTTTCAAAGACAAAGTAGCGCTTTACATGAAATGTATCCAGATCGTACTGTGATCAGCCTAGCAGATGTGTCTGCCTTCAATGAGTATACTCGCCGTTCCTCTGTGGATGCGTGATGACGTCACCGCCCCTCCCCTGAGGGAAGGGGGCGGTGACGTCATCACGCATCCACAGAGGAACGACGAGTATACTCATTGAAGGCAGACACATCTGCTAGGCTGATCACAGTACGATCTGGATACATTTCATGTAAAGCGCTACTTTGTCATTGAAAATGTGAGTGGGAAATCTAAGCATAATAAACAATTGAAATCCCAGATAAGACACTATGTTTCTTTTCCCTTCTCTGTATGTTCCATATATGGAGGACTAAGCCAAGCAGCCAGTGGAGAAAGTCTCACTGAGAAGGCTGTGCTGAGGAGAGAGGAGAGAGAGAGGAGAGAGTTCACACAGTGGACACAGACTCATCACACTATCCAGACTGAATATTAAAACCATCTCATTTATACAGAAGGAACTGTCATTCCCACTGCAAATATTTTTGATATTTTTTATTTTTTAATTTTTATTTTTTATTTTTTTATTTTTATTTTTACTTATATTCTTCATTTTTCGTTTTTTCACATTGATAAATTAATTCAATTTTACACAAATCATATATTTAAGTATAACTAATTGATGTAATTATTTTGATTATTGGTGGTACACTTATGAATTCACTATATCACATAAGGTAGAATATATTAGAGCGCGGTACACCACTGGCATTTTTGATTAACCATTATTTAATGTTGTTCTGATGCTTTGAATAAAATTTGTACTTTTGCACAGTAAAATGTGTGGGTTCCCCTTCAATGCCAGTAAAGTCCTATATTTTGTGCGTTTTTTTTTTTAAGATACATATGGCATTCATGGATGTGTCATTTGAGTTGTCTATATTAGTTTCTATTCTTGTTTACTACAGCACTGCCACATACACATATCCAGAGGTGCACAGCCATTCATGTTATTGACAAATTGTACACTGAACTCTGGGCTCCCTGAGCGGCGGGAATTACAGCTGCAATTAGGCTGAAGGGGCGCAGTTGGAATTTGTGCAAGAGCCAAAAGGGTTTAATCATCTTTAGATATGCCTCGGACTATAGAAAAAATCTTAACTTATACATAAGTAAGACTGCTGCTAACTAAAAATAATTTTCAAACTAAAAATGGCAATGTTATGCAAAACGGGCAATAATGTTTTCACATACCAAGACTTCAGACTTGAAATACAATTATAGAAATGGTATTTACCAGAACACTTACAGGCTTCTGTTGAGGAGCAGTGCTCACTAAAATCAAAACAAAAAAAAACAAAAAAAAAAGAACAAAAGAAAAAGACAACATAAATTAAGACCATAAAACACATTTTTATACACAATTTTACAGTTTTTTTTTTTTTTTCAATCTAAGGAACACGGGGCAGGATTTTGATAAAAATCTAATTTAAAAATTGTACAGTTCAACTCCTCAAAAGCAGCTTTTATAAATTGTTGCGCTAGCAAGATATAATAGTATACATATTACATAATACATAAGTTAACCTTAATGGGTTTCTCCAGTAAGATGCTTTGAATTCTGTTATACAGCCAAACAAACAACTATATAAATATCAGTACTGCCCTTGAGAGATCACCCTTCACCTCACTTCTAGATGGGTCCCCATTGCAGAGTTTGACTTGTTGACCTTTGGCACACTACCAGGGGTCTGTGAACCAGCAATGGCAGCAGCAATAATTTTGCAGGACAACCAACTAAACTGCACGAAAAAACTGTCCATGCAGTTTTTTTTAGTAATTAGCAAAATTTAAAAAAAAAAAAAAATCACCTGTGCAGCTTAGCTTTAAGAATGGATCAATCTCAAAACAGTAAAGTAGGATTTATGTGCTCTCCACAAATGTTCTTTGAGCCCATTGAGAGACTCACACATCCCCAAGTTACCCTGCTGCCTGCAGGAGGATTGGACATTGGCAAACAAAAAACTAAGCCAGCCCAGTGCATAACTTCTCACTCCAAGAAAAGGATTTTATGGCAAGTACAAAAATGCTACCTTTTTCTCATCTATTGAGGGGCACAGAAGTCTTAAACCTCCAGGAAACACAAAAGCAGCCCAACCGAGAGGTTGGCAACAACAGGCAAATCAGTAATTGGCATAACAAGAACTAGGAACTGCCAAGAACACCTTATGCCCAAAGCTGGTTCTAGATGAGGCAGAAACATTCACCTGGTAAAACTTAGAGAAAGTGTGAATAGAAGACCAAGTGGTCTGATGCAGAAAAGTCCAAGAGGTACTCACAACTCTAGTGGAGTGAGTCTTAACAAGAGGGGGGAGGGGAAATCCTTGAGACCATAGGCCTGAACCTCAGCCAAGAGGGCAGAGGATGAAGACATACATAAGGCCGAAGAAAATTCTGAGGACAGGGAAGACTGACAGCAGAACTTCAGACTGTAGATGTTGGCACTCAGTAGGCATGCAGCAAACCATGCTCACCCATTCATAGAAAAAGTTGGGGACAGCCAGAACAGCAGGACTGCCCACTTCTCTCCCACTTTCCCTGTATCTAAAATCTGATATGCTGCGGCCGCAGCATGGCTATGCAATGCAATCAAGCACAGGACAAGCCAAAGGCAAGGCCTCAAGCACTCACGGAAATTAGACAGTTGACATTTGAAGCTAGACAGTTGACATTTGAAGCTAGACAGTTGACATTTGAAGCTAGACAGCTGACAGTTGAGGATCAGTGACCAAGGGGTCAGATGGCTGGGGATGACCAAAGTCACTGTAGGTGAGCAGCAGGAACAGATCAACGTTTGTCGTTCTACCTGGTTTAGCAGACACAGCCATAGAGACATGCTTTCCTGATGCCAAATGGTAGAAAAGAGCACAGTGTGCAACGCAGCCAACTTAACCAGAAAAGGCTCTGGAAAGCACCTCACAAAGAACCCAGTGCCCAAAGGTCACGTTCAGGCTAGCCCTCACAGCAGCAAATCAGAGAGGAAAGCTCTGGCAGCTTTGTAGAGAGAAGTCTTGATTGAAGAAAACCACAAATAAAATAATTGCTAGACACAGGTTAGTCTTTGAAATAGCAGAAATAAAGAAAAAAATGAAATGTCCTTGCTCTGAGAATACTAGCAGAAGCAAATAGGGCATGCTGTTAGCAGGAGGGATAGATCGGTGCTGGCTTACTGTTGTTTTTGTTTTTTCTAGCATTCAATCCTGTAGGCAGCAATATACAGTATAACCTGAAATAGTAAAATCTGTGCCCCTCAATGGACATGAAAGAAAAAACATTTTTTTTTCAGAGGCATCCCCTGCCTCATAACAATACTAAATGATTTATTAATTATTATCATACATGAAAGAATAACTTCTAAATTGAGTCTGAATTATGCTTTTTTTTAAATATAACCCAATAAAATATAACAAGTTGCAGTGAACAAAACAAAATAAATCAAAAAGCATTCAAATAACCTTTTGATACTAATAGCATTAAAACATCAATAAAGTGCAGAATTCAAAGTGTGTTCAAACAAAAATAAAATTTAAAAGGAGAAAGTAGTTGGGAGTCTGCCTTAACATACACCAAACTTGAGATAACTTTACACGGTCAACCACCTTCTGAAAGGAACTTGTGGCCATTTACAGCAATACTAAGGAGCAACAAGAGGCAAAAAAGGTGCCAAAAGTGACCCTTCCCAAGAGTTAAAGTGGAAATCCATTCTAACATTAGCTATATAATTACAAAGTTCCTTCCCTCTCCTTGAACCTACCCTGACAACACTGTGTATACTTGCCTATTTTAAAACCAATCACGTAACCTCTTGTGTTAGCGTGTGTTGGCTGCAGTGGAGAGGAAAAAGGCATCCGAAAATGGCTGGGAATTCCAGAAGCCATTCGATTTACCTGCCAATGTCCGTGCACCCTCCGTTCCCTTGTAGTTGCTACTCACTGACACAAGGAAGTCAGAGCTGCATGATCACATGACCAGAGTAGACTAAAATAGTAAGTACATAGATCTTTTATACACAAGCTAGGCAGGATAGGTAGCAGGAGGGGAGGAAACATGTTAAGCATAATTAGTGTTAGGCTGGAATTTCACTTTAAAGTGATTGAAAACCTAATTTTTTAAAAATAATAAACAGGTCATCCTTACCTGCTCTGTGCAATGGTTTTGCATGGAGCAGCCTCGATACTTCTCTTCTAGGGTCCTCTGCCGACGTTCTTGGCTCTTCCGCCCTGCCAAGTGCTCCCATGGCAAGCCAACTGCTGTAGGGACAATCATACATGCTTGATCCCAAGCCGTAGTGTGTGTCCTCCTTGACACACAGTGTGGCTCAATCCCCACCCCCTGCTCTTTCCTCACAGGCTGTGATTGACAACAGCAGGAGCTAATGGTTCCCACTGCGGTCTCTATGGCCAGTGAAGAGAATTAGAGAGAAGATAGCCGCTGCTCTCAAGCACAGCGCTTTATTTAGATTGGGCTCAGGTAAGTATTTAGTGGGGCTGGAGGGAGAGCTGAATACAGAAGGTTTTTTACACCTTAATGCAGAGAATGCATGAAGGTAAAAAAAAACAAACAAAAAAACAACCTTCTGCCTTTAGTAACACTTTAACTATATATGTGCAGCTTCAGTCTATTAGGTAAGTTGCAGAACAAACAGTAATAAGCTCCAACACTCCAGAGAACTGGCAGATGTCTCTCTGAGAACAATGGGTGGGAGAACCCCAGCCCTCCTACAAATATAATGGTAATTTCAAATATTGACAGTTTTCAGTATCATACAAATATCATATGCTGTAAAAGTTGAGAGAGATTGGAGTATGGAAAGAAAAATAACCTGATAACTTGAAAAATACATCTCTTTGGACCATCAAGTTTTAAATTATTGCTATATCTCTGAAGTTTTGGAGTATAATACAGCATGCCAATCTATAACGTATACCTGCAGAACCAGAGGGAGGTGGTGCACCAGCCTTCTGCCATTCTGTGGCTTCCGCTGCCATTCTTCGGACATAGGCATCATCAACACACATCAGGATGTTTTCTGGTTTTATGTCAGTGTGGATAATTTTACATTTGCTATGCAGATAGTCCAAGCCCTGAAGGACCTAAACAATGAAGGAAATTAACCGCAAGTCAATATGGAAACATTCTATATTTAACTTAAAATTATGTGAGTTACTTCCACACATCTGTATTTAGAAACTCAGCAGACTATGTGACGATACCTATTTTTAAGATCATGCCATGTGTAATATTCTTTAGTGATGGTAAAAACTATGTACATTATTTGTTGCTAAAGGAAAAAAAGATCAACGAGGAGAGCAAGATTACACAAATTATACCATATGCAGGGGTGGTCAGGAGTTTCCAAATAGTACTTTTGCTATTGCAAGGTAATGTTGGTAAAGCTTGCAATAAATAAGCCAATTGTTCAGAGGAGACAATCAAATTTCAAATGTCACATCTGCAAGATATCTGCTACAGTTATTTCTGATATCAGGAAGCAAAGCCCTGCTACTTTACCAAGATGGGCACTTCCACACATTAGAGACAGTCTTGGACCTGGGGAAGAGGTCAGCTGCGGGAATCCTAAATTATACAGTACAAGGCTTAGTAGTGGCTAGACCTCTATCCACCACTTGCACTTGATTGGGCACAGCTTGTACAGAAACGGTCCGCTTTAAAAGCAAACAGGAACGACTGATCATCCCAAGGACAGATTCACACAGTGTTTGGGATTGGAACTTACATCTCATACAGTTATCAAGTGTTGACATACATTTGTGATGCGTGTAGGAAAAATGTATCAAACCATTAGCAGCAGAGTCATAGAAAATCAGCTTCATGAGCTTATCAAAGACTTCCAAATGCTATACAAGCACTGAAAAGGGTTTAGGAAGTGTACCCAGGTGTTAGAAAGTGGTTGCTTGCAGTGACAAACGCAAATGCATATACATGTTCTGTTCTACCAATCAAGATATTCATAACTTTGTTTAAGCATTTTTCTGAACCACACACTATTGTTGCATTGCAATGCAAGCATTAGTCTAAAACATGAATGTGTACTAACACCACATTAGCAAGATTATGCAAAACATTTAAAATGCTTTCCCATTTTTGACTACAGAGGTACTGTACCTCAAACTTATGGTTCTGTGTTATTTAAAATGGCCTTAAAATACTCAAACTCTGGTCCCAAAGTTTAGCTTGTATTAACATAGGCCTCATGCACACTGGACACTCTTACAGCTGCTCCTAGGGGCGTCTGGCATTTTTTTTCCTGCCTCTAAACTCTCCTGCATGTTAGGCTATGTGTCCATGCACAGAAACATTTAGAGGCGTTTAGTGGCAGGAGAAAAAAGACCCCACACAATTTCAGTGTGTCCAGGAGCAGTGGCGTTTTGGCAGAAAAAACGCTTGAAGCACATTAATTCCTCTAAACGTGAATTAACACTAGGCACATTTCGCACTTGAGCATTAATTCATTTCAATGGCCAGTATAAATTATTTATTCTGGCCAATGAAATGAATTAACACCCAAATGTTTGACGTGGGTAAACATGGCTAGACGCATTACACACTTTTACAAGCGTCAGGTGTTTTTTTTTTTCTTTTGCCAAAACACTGCTGCCAGGAAGGGGCTTCTAATAGTAAAAAAAAAGAAAAAGAAAAAAAAAGTGCAGTCTCTGAGGCATTAGTGACCTCGCCTAACAACCCATTATGTCAGAATCCTAAACTAACTCACTTTTTGGATACCCATGGCAGATTTGAATGGGCCAGGTTATATAATAAAGGGGAGTTCTGATCCTTTCTTGCACTAAAACAGACTTATGTCCTACCAGATACATAATATTTTAAAAACATCTAAGACATGCTGCCTTAGCCCAGTTTGGGTCCCCCAAAGTACTCCTAACTTGTTTTTAGAATCAAAGCTATTTTCACCTACTCACACACAAAATTAGTCTCCAGTTACTATGCTATACTCGTACAAAAAGACTCCAAAAAAACCTCAAAAGTTAGGAGTCAATGGGGGAGGGGTCATGGCCATTTTATTTAAAGATAGACTTTTTCAATTTCAATTTTTTCAGAGTCTACTTTACACCATTCAGACCTATTAAAATGGATAAATATGACAACTGCTTATCATAAATGTCAGAGATCTGAGGGTGAATTACTACATACAATTTGGGGTGGGTAGCAAAATTAGACCATTTTGATTAGCATCCAGTTTGTCTGATGGCTTCTCCATCACTAATATTTGCACTCCAGGAAGAGGATTGTTGAGACAGCAGTGAGACTGAAATGAGCTCTGCTAAAAATCAATTCACATGGAGGAACTGGCAATAATTTTAAAGGAGTCTAAATCACACAAAGCACCAGGGCAGTAAGGGTTCACTTTATTATATTACAAGACCTTTTTCCACCTGTTATCTCACCCTCCTGAACAAGCGTTTAACACAGTTCGAGCTGGCTACCACTTTCCACTAGAAAGGGACACAGTATTCAAATTATCGCCCAATCTCCTTACTTAAAGTGGTTGTAAAGGCTCAAGGTTTTTCACCTTCATGCATTCTATGCATGAAGGTAAAAAACCTTCAGTGTGCAGCAGTGCCCCTAGCCCCCTCAATACTTACCTGTGCCCCATCACGATCCATCGATGTGCACAACTGCCTCAGCTGTCCCGGATCTCTGCCTCCTCGTTGGCTGAAACAGCAAGCAGGAGCCGTTGGCTCCACCTGCTGTCAATCACAGCCAGCCAGTGGGGACACTCACATGTCTCCAAAATAAACAGGCATGAATGAAGATAATAAGGCAAAGCAGTCCCTTGGGCTCTTCAATCACCTGTAAGGTGTCACCACAGTCCATACCTAATGCATTTCGCCCCTCCCACTTGGCGTGCCTCTCAGGACAAGCTGTTGCTTTGCCTTCTTATCTGCGTTCATGCTTGTTTTATTTTGAAGACTTGTGAGTGTGTGTATTACCAGTGTATGTCAATTTTACTGATTAAACAAAATCACACTATTCGGATTAGCCTTTTCCATTCCTTGCATGCATATATCCCACTTCATGATGGAATGATTTAGGACCATAAACTTCATTAAATCAGGAGGACTACAAGACCCAACAGGAACTCCACATGCCCCACCAAAGCGTGCATGAGTCTTACTTTATCATAAGGAGTCCAATATATCTGGTGAGTCGGTGGGCATACTAGAGCACGAATCGCATATTGTTTTGCAACAGAAGCACCTGCACTGATTACTACCACTAAGGACATTATTTTTCACTTTGTAGTTCTATTCTTAATTTTTTGCTGAGTTGTATTTAAGTATATGTATCATATTTAGGCAGAACTTTTATTGTATTTGGTTTCTATGTAGTAGGTCTTACCTGCAAGGAAGCAGCAGCCTAATAGGTTTATTAATCTTTGCATCACTGAGTGTAGATTATGAACACTAGTGTCTGCACTTTACATCAGCACTTAGTTTAGCATTTTTGTTGAGTTGCAGTTTTTGGTGATTTATATTTGTCACTGAGTTATATTTTTACTGAGTTGCACCATATTTTTGCTGAGTTGCACCATGCTTTTATACTTCTAGGCAGCGCTTTATGTGCGTTGTCTGTATGTAGCATTTTTTCACCTGAAAAGAAGCAGCAGCACATCAAGGCTAAGTTCACACTAGCTTTGTTAGCAGGCGTTAGGGAAGCAGTTTTAACGCTCCTCAAACTCCTATGAAAAATCTACACCTAGCAGCACACAGTGTTGTGCACACTGAAGCGTTAGCTTCACGTTGCGGCAAAACTGAAGCCTCATGTCCAGTCAGGAGGAGGTGCAGGAGTCTATGGTGACACTCCTCAAATGCCTGACAGGCGTTTGCGAGGCGTTTGCGGAGCGTTAATACCAATAAACTTCATTATAAGCATTTGTGGTGCGGTTTTAACGCTTGGAAAACGCCTATTAAATGCCTCAAAAATGTGCATAGGGCATTTGGGGAGTGTTAAAAACGCTTTCCAAACGCCTCTCTAACGTTATAGGGGTGTTTGGTAAGAGTTAGAAAGTAGTCAAGTGTGAACGAGCCCTAACAGATTTATCACAATTGCATTCAGTATTGGGTGTATGCAGATGATTTGGTTGTCCTAGGCGTGGGTTAATCGTATATTGCATTGTCAAAATCTTGTTCAACAACACGGCGTATACAGGAAATCGGCACGAGAAGTAGATAAAATATACACAGATATTCAGTATAATAGTTAAATGAGATGAAGACTTGTAGAAACATGCATCTCAATTAGTCATATCTGCTTGACCAATTACCAAAAACAGTAAAACAGACCAGAGTAAATAGTACCATATCTAAGACCCTGCTCCTCATGCAGGAAGGGCAAATACAATCACCCAAGAAACTCATTATATCCCTGAAACCATAAGGGCATCACTATTGTTGTCACCTCTATATTATCTATCAGAACTCTGAGCTCATTATTTAGAAGAAGAAAGAAAAGGGGGGGGGGGGGGGTAATAAATCGACTCAAAATGGTGGCAGCGCCTTAGAAGGTGCCAACTAATGGAGGATCAGATATCAAATTTACCAATGAGTCATTCATGTCTTGAAAGTCTAACCAAGGACCCCAGAATTTGCTAAACTTAGTCGGGCACCCCCTAGCCACATAGGTCAGCTTATATAATGGGAGATTTTGAATGATTAAGCAACGCCACTGATCAATATGTAAGGGTTCACGTCGTATCCAATATAATAAAATTGTTTTTCAGGCATAATAAAACAGTAAACGGAAAAAACTATTTAGTTTTGGTAGGAAGCTCAACATATTCAAATACACGCAGAAGAGAGGAGGAAGAAGGGAGCTCAAAGGATTCTGAAATGAATGCAGTGACTGCTGACCAGAACACTCTGACTTTATTACAGGACCATACCATATGGAAAAAGTCCCCGTTCTATTTCACACTTATGGCAGATGGGGGAGGTCCACTTACACATTAAAAATATAGTCTTTTAGGGGTACGTTTGATGTAGATACCTTAACTGTATTAATTTGTCCCTGGCGGAGATTACTGTATCAGGGTATGAAATACATATTCCAGTCA